CATATTCATAAGTTTGCTGGAAAAAAAAGGGTCTGAATAACAGTGATAAAATTATGGATGTTATTGAGTTGAATAACATGAGGAAGATAACGGCAGACTGAAACAGTCTGCAGTCCTGGTCTCACTGTCTCTAAAAGAATGTAGCTGAACTGGAAAATGCTCCAAGAAGGACAACATTGTTTCAAAGGTGAACAGAATAACTTTCATCTAAGGAGTGACTGCATGTAATTATAATGTTTGGAAAAGAGAAGTGAGATGATGACCTAGGGAATGATGGAATCTTCCAATACAATAATTACATTTTTCAAGAGATAGTCAGAGAGAAATGTTTGTTTATTTCAGAACAACAGGAGATTGTGGTTTACCTAGTGTTAACTGAGAGTATGAAAGTTCTTACTGGCGACTACTGCTTCAAAATATATCAGACCAATCTGAAGTGCATTAAATGCCAAATTGGTTCAGAAAGCACCTGGAGAAACTTGGAGGGAAAAATATTATGGGATATCAATCACAAAAAGATCATTTCCAGCTCTGCAAGTCTGAGCTGTATACCTCTAGAACATGAGGAAACTTCCTGTAGAAGCCTATTTTTCCTGCTGTATTTTTTACCATAAACATCTGGTATCAATTTCTGTTGTAAATGGGATAATTTGATAGATGGAGGTTTGCTATTGCTTTTAAAACTATTTATTGCTTTTACTTTACTTTCCTTCAAAGCATCTGGAGACAGACTCGTTCTTTATGACATGATAATGTTTATTTTCTTGCAAAAATTCTTTGACATTAATCTTTTAGGTGCACATCGTGGTAATTAGGAGATATAGTATAAACATATAGGTTGGATTAGAGTTGGGTCACATGTAAAAAGAAGGGTTTCTTTATAATTTTTTTCCCATTTACTTAACTGATTTTGAGCATTCTGAACACCCTGTAGTTGTGTCTTATTAGTAGAAATTGCAAAATTATGATAATGATCCTCAAATGTTAGTAAGTGCCAGTGGAGGACTTCCTGTTGAATGATTGAATCTACAATGTCACTGGCTATTGGGTCTCAGAGAATGGTAATTGCTATGGAAATTGTTCCTCATTAAATGGGTAGCTACTTATTTGGTCAAAAGTCACTAAGGCAAATGATGAATTTATTATTTTCAGAAAGATTGGTAAAATTTTACACACACACACACATACACACACACACAGATACATATACATGAGTTGGTAGTGGTTATTTCAGAGAACTGGAGAGTGCACAATGTATGTTCCCTTAGCAAATGAAAATCGTCTGAGCTTTATGTTGTTCCTTACTGCAATCAAACAACTTAGAGCATAAACTACTTTTCTCAAGAGTGTATGTTTTACCAAATACTATTTCCAGTAGTCCTTGTGTTCAAACTCCCAGGTTACAAAGATATTTGCTTATTTGTTTTGTAAATTAAATAGTTACTGTATTCCTTTTTTTTTAAGATGATGGGATCATACAATTTTGAATTGCCAAATCTAATGTCATGCTTGCCAAAGCATGTCTAAAAAATAGACATTTGTGTAATACTGTCACTCATGCAGCACATATTGCCACTTTATACTAGAAAGGGAAATCACTTAATTTGAACGTTACAGTTTTGCATTCTACAGAGAAGTTTATTTGCCCCTTACTCCTAGCTGAATTCACTAAAGATCATTCTAGCTTTTCAGAAATTCAGATTTCCATATTCCTACAAGAATTTTTGCTACATTTATAACGTTTGTTGTTGGCAATCATTTGGAAATGCTGTTAATTTATCTGTATTTGAAAAAAGAGGAACAGCCTAGGCATGGCTTTTGTCCTCTAAGCATCTTTCTCCTGCCAAACATATGATACATGTCAATATGTAGGATGGACTAATGGCAATCTAGGTTATTGATACTGATTGGTATAAGATCATGGAATTAGTCATTCTGGTATATGGAGTGCGAGGAAGGTTACATCCAAACTGCATCCAAATTAGTCAATTTATCAACAATGAAGTGAATGTCTGTCTTCTTCCTTAAAGCACAGTGATAAATAATTAGAAGTAAAAAATACTGTCTGAATAATTTTCAAAACTTTCCAGCATTAAAAGAGTACTGAAATTTAAGAATTATGTGCACATCTACACATAATTTCAGCAACACTAAAGTGCAACATGCTCTACATGATTGACTGACTAATGATTTATTCATAATTTAATTTAAACTTCTGTTACATTATTCTGAATTAACGTTCTTAAACAAGAGTATGTCTTAAAAGAATTATTAGATCTTGATTAATGTTTCAAATGAAAGCAAATTCAAGGAAATTTAATGTGATGCTTAGGCAATAACTACTTTTGTTGCTAACAATGCCCCCTAATTTGCAGTCTGACTTGAAGCCAGTCTAGCTGCCAGCATGGGTTTCTCTCTGTTATGCCATTACCTTCTGTAATGCTATTCTCTTTTTCTTTGGATCTTTATCCATTGGGGTCCTTCAACCCCTCAAGACTATTTGGCTTCACAAAGAGGAACTAAATTCCTCAGACTCTTCACCAGAGGGCATATTTTTCATTGCTTTATTCATTTTGATCTTTCTCTACCTTTCTGTCTAACTTCTCATCCCACTTGCAGGATGGTTACCAGATTCAGGTAACACCGAGATAATTCAACTTTCTTTTGCTCTCAGACTTTTAATAAAGTTCATTAGATGTTTCCCAAATGCCAACAGGATGTCTGAACTATTACTTCTGTTTTTTCCATGTCATTGTTAAAAATTGTCTGTGGTAAAGAAGTAAATTGTATGTCCTTCCTTTAGAAATACCTCAGTTCAGTTCATACCCTTTTGCCATACTGAAATATAAAATTTAAAATATTTTCATTCAGTGAATGTGTTTGATGGTTTTACAGTATTAGCTATCTTACAGAACTTTGTTTCATCAAATCTGTTATTTTATAGAATTTTATTTTATATGGTTTGGGTTGGAAGGGACCTTAGAGATGACCCAGTTCCATCCAACCCCCTTGCCAAGGGCAGGGACACCTTCCATTAGACCAGATTGTTCAAAATCCTCTCCATCCTGGCATTGAATGCTTCCAGGGATGGGGATGCACAGCTTCTCTGGGCAGGACATTCAGTTTTACCATTCAGTTTTAACTAAACTGACTAGCTAGTTTTATGAACAACAAGATAATAAATTTAAAATGTCACCTAAAAGCCATCAAGGCAATTATTATGTATTGTCATTTTAAGGCAATACTTAATAGGAAACCTGGTGTTTATTATTTGTTCTCCATATACAGACATTTTCTTTCTGCCAGTTTTGTGCTTGAGTGCTGTAACCAATGCTTTGTAGTTAAGAATGTTGCTCTTTTAAGTTTCAGCTCTATTGTTCAGACTACTTGGTGACTCAGACAAGTGCCATTTCATCAGTCTTTGAAGTCTGGAAATTATTTTTTGTACTTGGTAATAAAGGAAAAATACAGGAAAAAGCAATTATTTATTTCCTCTATTGTTAGCCCACCCATAAAAACAGCAGGTATTGCAACTGCCTAATTCACTTCTAATGATCTATAGGTGTGTTTTATTTCAAACGTGTCAGAGCTGTTTCCTTCTATTGGATGATTTCTTACCAATAGAGTAATTGGCTCTCTCAGATATTTTCATTAATTACATGAAAAACTGTTTTACCAGATGTAACAGTATTTTCTACATTTTTGTGAAATGCATTTTGTTTATTCTCTACCTCTCTTATTTGAAAAACACATTTCTTGGCACATAATTTGATTTTTAAAATATGTGCCTTTTTTCTTCCTTTTTCTCAAGATAATATTCAAGTGTATGTCAGGTATATTCCTCAAAACGGACTCAGTATATACCTTCAGAGAGGACACACACAGAAGGAAAATCCCTGCTATTTTAGGGCTGGTAAGGCAGTTTACCATGTATTCTGTATTCTGAAGATCAGTATAAATCATTACAATTCCCCCAAAACATTATGGCAAGGTTCAGTAATGTGTTTCACGTGTAACACTGAGTAAAAGATAAATAAGACCTATTTTAAGGGAACTTCTGCACATTTTATTTTAGGAGGTTCATTCTAATTTGAAGGAATAGCTTACGCAAGATCTAATCAATCGTATTGTGCAACACGTATTATTCTCCACTTCTGTTATATTTCTGGATTGAAAAAAACATTCATGAAGAATGAGAATTCAAAAGAGACAATAATTCAATCTCTTGCATGAAATGAACACAGGGAGGACCACTGTGATTACAGTTACATGTCTACCTTCACCATAATTCTTTCTTTTTAGTTTCTTGTAGTATGGTTATAAGCCATTTCTTGTTTGCATTCATTGTTTCTAAACAATGTTTAAATACAAAGTACTTACTTCCTCCATGTTCTGTAGTCCACTAGGAATATAAACAGGTGTTTCATCAGTGAATTCTGATTTCACAAATATCAGAATTTGCTCCATAGTTTGTTTGATATGCTCTTTGGTCCCTCTTCCACACACGCATCACACTTTCAGCAGAGTGAATGCTCATGAGTCTGTAAAACAGCATTCCACCAAGAGAATTTGTCTGGGGTTAGCTGATTAGAGATGTCACTTCATTTTATAGCAGGCATTTTTCCAGTTTGCCTCATGCCCCAGGCAGCGTGGTGCTGGAGCAGACAGATGCCCCTTTTTCTGCAGCATGCACCTGGATTCCCATCCCCCTCACAAAGGTATGGGGATGGGGATGCTGTCCAGGCTCTTGCCCTGATTTCTGGGAAGAGTACAGCCAGGACAAAAACAGTAGGCTAGAAAGTTCTGTCTGTTCTGACTGCAACTGGGAGCCCCAACACTGGACAACACTCAGCCCAAAATATGAAGAGAACAAACATCAGTTTTATTGCTCTTTTTGGTTATCCAAAAGCTCTAAAGCACTTTTTAACCTAATTCTCTGAATAATGTTATTTCACTTACAAAATTGGAGTGTTTTTACTGTCTCCTGTTTATTCTTTCAGGATTTGTGGATTTAACACTCCATGATCAGGTCCATCTACTGGAATGTGCCTGGTTAGAGATACTGATGATCGGCTTAGTCTGGCGCTCCATGGAACACCCAGGAAAGCTTTTGTTTGCACCTAACCTGTTACTGGACAGGTCAGTCTGCATGTCGCTGTGAATTATTTAAGTTAACTTATTTCTGCTGCAATCAGATTCATTTTTAGCATGATATCATCTCACCAATACTACAATTTGACTGTACATCATATGTCAAGCAGGCTTATGGTAGGTGACACTGGAAAACAAATGCTCAGGAATTTGGTACTGGTCATTTATTAGACAAGTAACACACCTGAGATTCATCTGCTGCTTGAAGTGCTTCCTTTCAAAGCCAGCAGTAAATTTCTCTTATAATCTCTGCTGTTTGTTGCAGAAGTAATTTAAATTAAAAACTGAATACTATTCATTTTGTTCAGATAGTAATTTTTGTTTATTTAAAATCCTCCTAGTTTTTCTTAAAATGAATTTTTCCAAGCAGCCAGACAAAATTTTGGAAGAAAATACTCATAGAATCTCAAGTGTAGTTTTATTTATTTATAGAGAATATATGAAGTTTGGGGTTTTTTTTCCTCACGAAAACTGGAGACAAATATGTCAAACACATACTTGCTCCCTTCACTAAGCTTTTTTGTTACTTGCTAATATGCTAAGTATTTCTGAGAGAAAAAATATTCATCTGTGCTGTATGGCAATATCCTGGATTTTAGCTGGCAGACTTCATTTCAAAAGCAAGAAGACTGATGATTTAAAATATATTTTCTACTCTCTTGATATAAATTCAAGCTCTCTTTTCCTAGTCGTGTGAAAAGTTTCATGAAAAATTTCAATTAAATTTTCAGACAAAATTTCTTGGGATAGTCTAATCTTAGCTATTGGTGCCCCTTTTAGTTGAAGACTACTGCCCACACAGCAGAGCTGGCAGGGGAGAGCTGCTGTGCACAGAGGTCACTTCAGGGCAGACTTTGGCATCTTGGTCTAAACTGGAAGTGGCAGAAGAGCCAAACTGAGATGGAGTATTCAGAGAGGCAGCTAAGAGCTGGGCAAGCTCCTGACCTCATCAGGGAGCTGCCAGGGCAGAGGGGTGGCAACAGAATGTCAAGGGCAGTGCCCTCAGCTACTGCAGTCACCAGGGGTGTAAATTAATCAAAATTCTCATTAGCAGAAAAATTTCTTATGATCAGCTTGCTCTGTTGACTGTGGGGTACTGAGTTTCCATTGTTGCATTCATTCAGTGTTATTAATCCTTTGATTCCCTGCCCTCTATTTGCACACATCCCCCCCAGGACTTACTTTTAGCATTTTAGTAAAATACAAATGATAATACATAACAGGATAAAACACAATATTTCCCCAGTACCAGAGAAATCCTTATTGCCTTAGGAAAAACCCTGTTCCACTTGTGTAAGCACAATGATCTATGAGCTATGGAACTAGAAGAGTATAAAATACATTCTTGATTTAGGTACAGAAAATATCTGCGTGTCTAAATGTAAGTGTAGTCTGAACAAAAAGCTGCAAAAGTTTTGAAATAATTTTGAAATTTTGGTCTTCAACTTAAAATCCACATGCTCTCAGTAAAATGGAGTTTGAGCAGTTGATTCACACAGTTTTAAATCAACTGTTGGATTAAAGAAAACCATTGCATGCAACTAGAAACACATATTACTTCAGGGCTCTTTGTTTTCTAAATTTCAATTGAGACTGTAAAAATGTAGATATATTACATATTCTAATTTTCAAATAATAAGAAACATGTGTCTAAGTCATGGTATACTTACCTCGCTCCACTTGGTAGGGATATTTGCAGTAAGTAAAAGAATAAATTACTTGACTCTGGGAAGCAGTGATATCCTAATCAGTTAAATAACTCTTAATTTACTTCTTAATTAGTACTAAAAATATTTTGATGTGGTAATTTGATTTGGGCAAATTGGCTTTTGAGAATGTTATAGAGCAAAAATCTGTTGTTTGTCAGGTTTCAGAGGGCAGGACAGACACTGAATCAAAGCCTGTTTCTCTCAATGAAGTCCTTCCACTGCATCAAATATTCATAGAACTAGAAAATGGTTTGGGTTGGAAGGGACCTTAAAGATCACTAGTGCCAGCCCCCCTTCCATGGGCAGGGACACCTTTCACTAGACCACATTTCTCAGAGTCCCATCCAACACTTCTATATTTAGTGAAAACTCTCTGTTGTTAATACAGAGTTTTACAACACTTTGTGTATGCCTCTAGATTTCTGTGATCATTCTGTTGCAGACATCCTTTCTGATCTGAGAACTCATTTCATTTTAGCATTCAGGCTTATCCTGATTCTAACAGATTCTTTTTGTCAAGGATCTTTGATATAGGTAGTCATTTGTATACATCTGTCCCTAAAGCTTAGGTCACACCAAATTTTATTATACAACTTTTCTTGCCCTTTGGCTAGATAAATACAGTCTTGTCTTGTTAACATCTATCTGAAATGTCATAAAAATAACCTTTCAGCTTGCTGGTTTTTGAAAAAAAATGTGATAATTCTTCTCCCAGCTCACTCCTCCTACTTGGGTCATATTAGACATATGCTTGTCTTGTCTCTGAAGATCTTTTGGAAACTGTCTTTTCTAATTCTATGCAAGTCAGCCAGTTACATTTTTAAATAAATACTTCTTCAGCTTTCCTTTGTGACAATTCACACTTGGAAGACTTCTTGAAAAAAATCTGTAAATCAGACCTTAATTAATAATTCTGTGTTGCTGTTAAAAATTTTTCTTTGCCTGTAAGAAAAGAATCGCACAACAATTAAGTTGACAGTATATGTAGACTGCTGTCTTCTGTATGGATGAATATAATCGCATTATCTCTTTTTCTTCCCAGTCTGCATTGTAATTAGTGCATTTTGTGAGATAAAGCATCCTTTCTTATTCTGTTAATGCATTACCCAAATATTTGAGTCTTGGTTCAAAATTTTAGCAGTCTGCCAGTTCTGTAGGACTAGCAGACTTTTACAGTGTACAACTGCTGCTATTAAAATGCTCACATGACAATAATTATAGATTAGAAAAACAGGCTCAATCAGGAAATACAATAACAAACTCACAGTATTTACTGTACTTTAATGTACAGTACTTATTGAAATCAAATAAGTTCAAGATTTTATATTCTGTTTTTGAGAATTACTGTATTGTATAAGGCAAATTCAGAAGTAAAGGACTAGATTTCTAGTAGGGTAAACCAGATGTTTCCTGTCTGGAGGGTTCCCAAGAAACTAGGCCCTAAAAATGTAATTAGAACAGGGTTGGAATTTGTCAGGCCTGACAGTAGACTGTTTATAATTTTGAAGAAAATGTAATGTTTCTTCAGAAATAAGAAAGTCGTATTTTACTTTAGTTTGAAAGGATTTGTTGCATTCAGATATCATGCTGATCCCATGTTACTCAGAGCCTTGAGACATAATTATAAAGAAAATCATGCTAGAAGTAACTCACTTGAAACATTCTCAGTTTCAGCAAAATGGGAAATGCAGTGCTGCATTTTAAAAAGGAAGCCTGGTGATCTCAGCAAAGAAGCTGATGGGATGCCATCTAAAGAAGAGAAGTGGCTGAAATTGTGAAATTGAATGAAAATGACAAAGAGTCACTGTGCATTTTCTAAGAGGAAGCCACGAATACCTTGAAGTCCTTTAAAAAATTAACATGCAAGGAGATGATGGACATCTTGTTGAATTTCCAAAAAGTATTAAACAAGTTCCAAATTTTATGTAGACAAATGTGATAGAATGTATGTAGGAGAATAATAATTCTGATCTTCCTAAACAGCATTCTGAGTTGATCTTTCCATCTCATTGTTACCAGTGATTAGTTCTATAGAACCAGCAGTTCTTTGATTGTCAGTAGTCAGAGACTGCAGCTTTCCTTCCCCTAGAGAATGTTTACAACAGGAATAATACAGAATAATAATATTATTCTGCGTTATTCCTGTTGTAAACATGAAATAATACAGATCATCACCATTCCTCTGTTTAATTCTGTGCTTCATCTGTGCTTAGAAAACCATGCCTTTCTGATTTTCTTTGTCTTGACTGTAATATTGAAAGAATTGGAGAGGTACCTAGAGGTGTTGTACAGACAATTAATAGAGATACAAGCCTTGCTACAAAGACTAACTAAATGGACTGACTTCTCTGCCTGTGATACTCATTAGAAGAATTGGAACAAAATAAGGATGATAGGATTTCTATAACAAAATAAAGATGATTGGATTTCTATAAAGTCATGAGCACATTGAGAAGATGTGTGGTAGTCCTACAGTTATTATCTCTTCCAGCCCAGCACTAGAGGTAGTCATTTGAAACCAGCAGATCCAAATGCCTGTGTGCTTAGCCCACAGCTAAATATACCTTTGGTATGAGACAGTATGGCTGTCTTCATGTTATTTTCTACTGCTATTTTCTTATCGTGGTTGTAAAAAATCTCTTGTAGTGAAAAAATCTGTCTTGGGACTTATAAAATTTCAGTTCAATACAGTCAGTATTTTGGTGTTTCTATCAGGTTTTTTGCTTCTTTTTATGGAGAAAGCTAATCTGTTTTTCAGGGCTCATTTTAATCTGGAAACTTACTTCTACTTTCAGTGCTTGATGGAGATTTTTATTCTCTCTAAATAGAAGAATTTATTTTTTACTGACTTTTGTATTGAGCAATGGCAGGAGACTGTGGATCTCTTAGAACTGCAACTAACACAAATAGCAAAAATCCTTACAACATTCACTGTGTGGCAGGGTGATCAATTTACTGCTTTCATGGTTCTTTTTCTGAACTTTTCTCACTATATCTGAAAAGAATCTTTCACATTCTTTATGTTAATATTTTGGTAGAGATAAAATTAGATACAATAGAAGAGCATCAAGATGAAATCTGAGTATGTTTTTCTAGTCCCTCAACCTGTAAAATGTTCCAAATATCTGAGGACACCCCCCTTGTCTGTCACTTTAGTAAATGCATGGCATTTCATGTGAAATTATGGGTGCATTAGTAACCCTTGGTTTATTAGAAAAATTGAAGCAAAGTGATCCCAAGTGCTTGATTCAGAATGCTTCCTTAGTGACTTTCTGCTTG